AACAGTGCTTTCCATATAGTAAATATTCATTGTTCAGTAAACATTCTGTCCTCAAGACTGAAAACTAGTAATCATAGTAAACCCTGACTCATACCTTGAGGGGAAAAAAGAGAAGAACCAGGGAAAGAGGAATGAGGCTTGAAGCAGTCATTTTCCTAGGAGAATCAATATTGAAAGTTTTCACAACCGGTTGATGCTTCTTGGTTCGTTCCTCCATTTAAGGGCCATGGGGAAAATGTCGAAGGCATCTGTAAGGAAAAATGAGTTCCCAGATTGTGCCGTCATCTTACTTGTAGGTCATTTTGCCATCATCTCACTGTGTGAGAGCCCAAGAAAGAAGGAACTGATATATTTATTCTCCGGAGATGCTGACTGAAGAACTGATTGCTGGAAAGTACCACAAAATAGGCAAGGCCAAATTGCTTTTTAAGTGTAATAATTGTAATGGCTGAAAAATCTGGAAGCAATCCAAAGATAAAAATTTAAATTTGGTCCGTCCACTCTGGAGTATTATGCATTCATTAAAAATATTTAGAAAGACTGTAGCAACATGAAAAAAATGGGAAAAAGGAGGTTGCACATTAGGTAGAAGAGAAGTGAAGAGGAAAGAATGTCACGGAAAAAATTAAAAAGCTTTGAAGAATCCTTTTATTTATTCATTTAACAAACATGTATTAAGGACCTACTACATCCCAGGCACCTGGCCAAGGGCTAGGATGAGGCCGGAAAGAAAAGGTTCCTGTAGAAGAATTTACAGCTTAGAACAGTAGATTTAACAGAATAGAATAACATTAACCCTTCTCGCAAGGAGCCAGGGTATTGACACTTTTTTTAGTTGACGTGGTCTCTTCCTCTTTATATAATTATTTTAACATAGCAGTAATTGTATGTACATTATAATTGCTGCTGCGACGTTACCTCTGATTCTTTGTCCTACTATTGCCGTCTCCGTTTATCGCTTTCCTGCCAGTGTGTGTGCAAGGCGCCGTGCGCGGTGCTGGGGGAAGACGTGAGAAGACCTGAAGTCCCAGCCCTTGCAGGGCCTCTCCATCTAGCTGGAGGGAAGAGTAATGGCTCTAATACAAGCCTGACTTTGATAAGCATCCAAGAGAAAGGGGTTAAATTAAGATGCAAAAAGGGATCTGGGGGGGGGGTCGTGGCGTTTTGCCTGGGTCTTGCCCAGTGGGTAAAGCAGAGTAACGGTAGAAGGTGGGCCGGCGGGAGTGCGGGGCGGGGGGCGCGGCGCGCGCAGCCTCGGGCCGGCCCCGCCCCCGGCGGCGGGCTCTGCTCGCTGATTGGTCCGCGCAGCCTCGCTCCTGGTTGGCGGGAGGTCTTCGAGCGGGTGGTGCCGCTGTGTAGCGACCAGCGAGCAACCGTCTGCGGCCCGGGAGCGTCTGCGGGAGGCCGACCGTCGGCACGCACCTCGTTCCTCAGTCCCAGGTTTTCGCAGGTACCTTCTGCTCGCGCCTGGTTTCGGGTCTCGCCGGCGGCTCTCCGTTTCGGTTGTGCCTGGTCCTTCCATCCCTCTCGCCCCCGTCCCCGCCGCCCACCGTGTGTGAGGGTGTGGCGGCGCCTCAGCCCCTTCCCCTCAGGCTTCTGCCCGTCAGTTCCCTCAGGAGCCTTCGCAGCGACGCGAAGACACCCTCGTGGCTCCTTCGGGCTGGGCTTGCGAGAGGGGTGGGGCGGCGGGCGTCGAGGTGGGACCGCGGGCGGCGTGGGGCTCAGGGCCCCAGGGAAGCCGGCGACGGCGCGGGTAGCGGCCTCGGGAAGCGGCAGGCCGCGCGGCACCCTTCCCCGGTCCGGTGTGCAGGGAATTGGGCCCGCACTTGGCTCTCGCGGCTTAGGTGGTGCTGGCCGGGGGGCCGGGGAGGGAAGGGCACCGAGATGGGAAGCCCCCGTGCCGCGGGGCTCCTCGGCGCCCTCCCGCTCGGGGGAAGGCCTATGAAGTGGCCCCTGCTCCCAGCCCCCAGCCCGCCCGCCGGTCTCCCCCGGGTGTTGTAAGTCCCGTTAAACACGTCTTGGCTCCCGCGAGCGTCCGCACCAGAATCTGGAGATCCGAGCTCCTGCGTCTCAGTGCCACGCCCTTCGCCCATTTCTCAAAATTTACAAATGTCCTTTTCTTACTTTTTCTATACGACTGGAGGCCAACTAGCTTCAATTTTTTTAAAAAAAACTTTTGAAGTTGTGCAACTATGACATACAACTGTCTACTGGGGCTTTGGGGAAAAAAAGGAGGAGGATTGGCAGGGATGTTAGCTCAGGGCTGATCTTCCTCACACACACAAAAAAACTTTTGAAGTAATTTAACATTTAAAGACTGATAAACCCCTGCTATGTTAAGGTTGAGATCCTGTCTATTGACAAATTTTATTCTTTAACATAAGCACTTTAAAAAATACCTGTGATCTCTGGTACCAATAGAATTTTAACATTTATTTATTGGTTGAGGTGAAATTTAGCTGTGGTGTTCCGACTCGTCTTTCCTTGCAAGACACCCTTCCTGTAAAGAAGATACAATAATAGTGTTGCTGTATATTGAGTTTCTGCTAAGCATTCAGCACTGTGCTAGGCATTATCCATATAGTTCCTTTTCTCGTCAACCCTACAAAATATGTATTATTAACAATGCCTAAGAATAGGTGCTTTTTATTGAATATTTACTATGTACCAGGTTCTAAAAAAACAGGTGCTTTTATTATCTCAATATCCTAAGTGAGGAAATGAGGCTCCGAGAAGTTCAATGGCCTAAGGTCACATAGCTAGTGAGACAAAACCAGGTCTTAATCCAGTTCTGTTCCAGTATTTTAACCTATACTCTCAACTGGCTCTGTTCCTTCTGCCTTCCGGCACCCGTAAGAATCCTGTCTTAAAAAAATTCCTCATTTGATTTTTGTCCCTTCTGGCTGCTGTTCATTTTCTTCTTTCTAATCATTGCCACATTTAAAAAAGGGGAGGGAGGCATGTTCACACCTCCTGCACATCGTTTTCTAGCACACCACTCCTTTAATTCTATTCCATCTAGTTTCCATTTATTCCCCAGACTTCATCGAAGTGTATTGCTTTATTCACTAATGGGTTGGATTTCTAATCAGATTTGAACTTCTTATTGGAACAGCTGTGCCATGTAATTTTACAAACACTGTAGCACCTAGCACTTGGCTGAGGCTAAAAGTGTTCTACAACTATTAGATGATTAATTAAATTAGAAAAAAAATCTGTAAAACATCAAAAGAGTGGAGATTTGATAACAGCCCCAACAAAGCTTCCAGCACTTTTGCCAGAATATTTTTTTCTAAATTTGCTGCGTTGTTTTTCAATAATTAGATTCTGTGGTTATGACAGAAAAATGCTTTAGTCATTTCAATGAGGATTCTTTTTTAGGAGTTATTTTATTTTAGCAAAAAAGCCCATCTTTCTTCCCCACAGCAATGGCTTATTTAACCACTAAGTCACAATGTCTTGTGCACATTTGCACTGCAAATGCTAGGATTAAATTTTTATAAAGTGTAACCCTGTAGCTGGGTTTGTTTTCCTGGTGAGGATTACAGTAAGTGATATCGGACTACTTACTATGTGTCAAATGTTTTACACATGATTTCATTTAATCTTTAAAACAGTTCTTTAGTGGTTAAAGAATAGGGGGCTTTGGTGTCAGACAGTCCTGGATTCAAGTCCTAGCTTTATCACTCATTAATTATGTGGCCATGGGCAAATTTCTTAACTTCCCAAAGCCTCAAACTTCTTATCTAGAAAATAAGGATGAAATAGTACCCACCTTGGGGTCAGCCCGGTGGCGTAGCGGTTAAGTTCGCCCATGCCGCTTCGGTGGCCTGGGGTTGGCCAGTTTGGATCCTGGGCTCGGACCTGCTCACTGCTCATCAAGCCATGCTGAGGTGGTATCTCATACAGAAGAGCTACAACTCTACAACTATGATACACAACTATGCACTGGGGCTTCGGGGAGGAAAAAAAAAAAAAAGAAAAAAGAGGAAGATTGGCAACAGATGTTAGCGCACGGCCACTCTTCCTCAAAAAAAAAAAAAACAGTACCCACCTTATAGAAATGTTTTGAGAATTAAATGAGATAATGCATGTAAAACTTTTAGAACAGTGTCTGGCACATATTAAGTGCTCAGTGTGAGGCTGCAATTATAAAGAAGTTAAGGCTTACCTGCCTGTCCTGAATTACCAATGGATATTGCTATTAGATTTTTCATATATGCAAATGAATCCCCAACTACTACTTCTATTGTATGATCTGTGAACCACCACCCCCATCATTCTTTATATTACCCCCAGAGAAGAAATTATTTCAGATGTCTATAGATTAGCTGTGGTCTACTTACAAAAAACAAAAAACCCTAGACATCCTATTCAAGTATGAATTCTGGTATGATTTTTTTCATGTTGGTGGGCCATGTACAAACTCAGTAAAAGATTTTGCCATATGAGCATAGTTTCTTCTAGTTCCGCCTCCTTCCCTGTCTCTTCCCCTTCTCTGAAATGGCTCATATTTTAATCTGCCTTTCATTCTCTTCCTCTGGCTTGCCATCAGAACTCTCATTCTCTTATTATTATATCTAAATGAAGAGCAAAATTTAATAGCTACCTCAAGGTGGAATTTGACCAAGAATGTAGCATCAATCGCTTCTCTCCTTAAGCTCCTTCTCCATAACTTTCCTACTAGTGTTTGCTTATTAACCTCAATGAATCTCTATTTGGGGAATTTCAGACATCTCTTTCTGTTTTCTCAAATTTTATATGAAATATCCCAACACATACATGAGGGTTTAGTGGAATAGTGTAAAGCTATACTGTAAGCATGATATTTATTTTTTGATTGATAGAAAATTTGCATCCTATTTCATGATAGATCCATGGTTGTTTTAATATAACAACACTATTTTAAGTTACTTAACATTGAGTAAATCTTACCTCCTGGTAGATATTCCACAGTTATTCTATATTCTGGTACATTCCAACCCAGGCCTAGCCCCCAATTTGAGAAGCCTGACTATTTAGTTTTTCCATCTAGATTGTAAGGCTGCTCTTGCTTCAGAAAAAAAAAAGATGCAGATGAGGCCTCCAGCTGTCTCCCAGATGAAGTGGGTAGGAAAGAGTAGAAAGTTCTTACACAAGTCTCAAGGCTCAATTTATCACCCATTCCTTTTTCTATGGAGTTTGTAGCACCCCTACACCCACTCCACAATTGCCTTCAATTTGGTTGGACCTTAGGATCTAGGAAGAAAGATGGGGAGAGAGGAGGGAAGCAGAATAGAAGGGAGAGAAGCAATTATAGAATCAACTGAATATAATTTCCCCTGCCTATTCTTCATAATCTAGCCCTGTACTGTCTATATGGTAGCCACTAGCCTACCTAATGTAGTAGCTGTTGGGCACTTGAAATGTGGCTGGTGCAACTGAAGAATTGAATTTTTACTTTTATTTAATTTAAAATTAAATACTGAAGGAGTGTGAAATATTTTTCCCTACAGACTACTTATCTTGATTGGACTACATTTCACTTTAACTGTTGGGAATTTAGCATCCAAATTGAGATATACTATAAATGTAAATACACATGAGATTTCAAAGACTTAGTATGAAAAAAAGAATGTAAAATATCTCATTAATTTTTATATTGATTACATGTTAAAATGATATTTTGGATATACTAGGTTACATAAAATATATTACTAAAATTAAATTCACTTGCTTATTTGTACTTTTTTAATGCAGCTTTAAAAATATAAAATTACATGTGTGGTTCACATTATATTGGACAGTGCTGATCTAGCCCCACTATATCCAATCTTATTTTCCATTCCTTCCTTCAGCAGGGAAGTTTCTGAGGGTCAGGAAGGAGAATCTGTACATAACTACTTGAACACCAAGGGAGGCATGGCTGCCTGGGTCACTGTGAGTTATGGATTCAGAGGTTCTCATTAGGGTCTTAGAGTAGCTTCCTGCTTTGCCTATTCATACCTCCCTTTCCTATTGCCCTATAAATACTTTGACCACAAAAGTAATACTAACTGTAGTAATTACATGAACTAATTACCACCAAACATGATAGCGATTATGCATATTGTTAAATATTGATGGGTTAACTTTGTTTCAAATTTTATTAGATTATAACACTGTACATTCACTGATTATACACTTATAATCAGCCACTCAAATATAATGGTCATGCACTCACAACTTTAAAAATCAGAGTGATCAATTTATGAGAATCCCTCAAAGCTCATATACCATACATTTCCTTGCTAGAATTGTTTTTAACTTTTCAATAAATACCGATAAATGCTTGTTGAAAAAGTGAATTTTGTAACATATTAAGGAATTTACCAGTAAGAAAATGTTTTTTTGTGTGTGGAGTTGCTTTTTAATATAATACTTGATATTGATAATAATTTATTTCTGGAAATAGTTTGCCTTGTCCTATAAAAAATTTGAGGTGGCATATAAAAACCATATGATAAAATTATGTCAATGTAAGCAGAATAAAAAATTATCAGGAAAAAAGAATACCACAAATAGATTATAAACTTAGCAGTTTCTATAATTAACTTTCAAATTTGGTTTTGCATTCTCTAGTAGTCAAAGCAAAACAGTATACAGGATCTTATTTTTTGGGAAGAGGAGGCATATCAGTTACCCAAAGGAAGCACAGCTTTTCTTAGCACTGAATTCTAAAAGCAATTTCTCATGTGAGTCACTGTCACAAATAACATTTTAGTAACAAGTTCAGTAACATTTCATATGACTGCATCTGGTAGTGTCATTCAATTGTTTTTATATAGAAATGAACAAGAGTGTGATAAATAATTGTATGTTTTATTTTTACAGGAATCTTGGGAAACCAAAATGAGGCATAATCAGCTGTGTTGTGAGACACCACCTACTGTCACTGTTCATGTAAAATCAGGGTCAAATAGATCACATCAGCCTAAAAAACCCGTTAATCTGAAGCGTGCTGTTTTTGAAGATAGTTGGCCAGCATCTGAAAAAAATGCACATAATAGCAAAAAATCTAAACGCCCCAAAGGACCCTGTCTAGTTATACAGCGTCAGGAAATGACTGCTTTCTTTAAATTATTTGGTAGGTTTAAAATATTGTAATAGTGGTAATTGTAAAGTACTTAAAAATGAGAGAATGTAAAGATCTATTTTATCATTTTCATAATAATCAAAGAGGATGCTTTTATTTTCTATGTCAGATTTTCCATTTCCAACCAAATTTGTTTTTGTTTTACTTAGTCTTTTTTTTTTTTTTATGTTGGGTTTTTGTTTGTTTTGATTGTTTTTGGATTAGAAATTCAGGCTCATTTAGCTTCTAGACTACTTAAATCCAAGTGTCAAATGTAAATTCTAGGCAATTCAAGTTTATAGCATGAGTTTTGTTTGACCTAAAGTAAAATTCTACGTAAAGTCTCAGGTGAGCCAATTGACCCTGTTTGATTGGGCCTGAGGGGTTTCCCAGGACTTTCAGTGCTTAAACTGAGCAAACTGGAAAGGTTAGTCAACCTAGAGAAGTTTCAGTATTATATCTGGGGAATATGCTTTATCATCATGCTCATATAATGAAATTGAGTTTGAATTTGTTCAGATCATGAGACAGTGTTTGCTGATAAACTTTTAAAAAATATCCCAAAAGAAACTTATAGTACTTCTCCTGGCCAAGAAAGAGAAGGGATTTTTTTTTTTTTTGAGGTAAGGTAGTATGGTAGACAGATTAGAATAAAGGATAGGATAGATGGATTCTGGTAAATATCTGTGGGAATGAATCAAGTCAAGTAGATACCACAGTCTGGTAGATCCAGGTAACAGGCTTCCTTGTTTATAGAGGAAGGCACATGCATGTAAGAGAGAGATGGGGACAAGAGTACTTCCCTGGCTGAGAGGAGAGAAATCTTGAAAAAAAAGAGGGCAAGCTGGTTAAGATGTAAAGAAAAGCAAAATAAGAAGAGATAAGAAGAAGAAAAAATATAAGTAATATAAGTAGAAAAATGTTGAACTATAAGGATGTTCCCTGTCAAGACCTAGAATGCTATTAATACAAGTTTCCCTCTTTATTAACAGTAGAGCAAAATAATTTACCCACAAACTTATTCATAACTCATCATGAGAAATAAGAAAAAACACCTGGCCTCTACCATTTTAGGTAATTTAAGAAATAGAAATGCGGCCCAGTGGCGCAAGTGGTTAAGTGCGCACGTTCCGCTGTGGCGGCCTGGAGTTCGCCAGTTCGGATCCTGGGCGCGCACCAACGCACCACTTGTCA